GTCGTTATTTTTCTTCCTGTTAAATATAAGAGCAAGATAAAAAAAAAACAGCCACACCTTCTTCGCTCTGTATTTTATATAATCTCACTCTTGAGATCAAAAAAAGAATACGACACGAAAAATTAAACGAATTATTTGTCATATGATATTTTATTACATAGATAATGTGAATGTTAATCGTTTGTTATAATAAATGATTAGTTACCATTTCTCTTTTGACACAAGATAGTTATTATCATACAACTTAAAACACAATTGTTTATTGTATTGATAGATGATTGTATTTTAGAGAAATATAATCATTTTCCAGAATATTCTTTTTTTTTTTGTCAAGGTAAATAACTACTATACTCGCTATACCTTTATTGACGATTAGAATAAATGCACAAAAAAAAAAAAAACAAAGTCTAGTAGCATCAGATAGAGTTTACATAGGAGAAGGACGTTGAAGAAAAGAAAGGAAATTTAAATAAAAAGATTGTCACAAGAAGCATTAAGAGAAAAATATATAAATGTATCATATAGAGAACAAAATGAAGGTAAAGATATGTGTATTGGAAGAAACATAAAGAAGACGAATGACTAAACCTCTATCAAAGAAAAAGGATATTAAGTTGTACAGGCTATCATGAATGTGGTAGTTAGTATGGATGGGAAGCTTGTTGCATATTGTAAAATAACAAATTTTTCTTTCTTTCTTATTGTATGCGTTCTGTCTCTTTGACTTTTTATTTCTTATATTTTTAATATACGGTATAAATACACATTATATCATATTATTCGATTTTTCGTTTACATATATACATCATTATTGATCAATTTATCTCAATGGCTGTTCAAATTCTTTGTGTATTTTTTGTGCCTGATCAAAGTAAATACAATTCATTATTCACAGATGATTATTTACAGATTAAAACTGAAGAAGACGAAAATCAAGAGATGGATTACGCATTTTTTAAGAGCAAACTTCTATAGTTATTAAATAGAATTTATTATTCTTTTTCTTACATCAATCGAATTAGATACATTTCGATTAACGTGTATGTATAAATATATATTAGAAAGAAAAGATATCCACAATAATAATTGAAAACCAAATCACCATTATGTATAAAATGTTTTTGGTGTTAGTATAAATGGTTAGTCTTTTTCTTTTTTCTTAACCTTGATCATGTCTGTTGATAAGCTAGTTTAGAAAAGATAAAATTTTATGTTATACAACTGAAGCATAGAAAATGTTACATATATCTGACTCAGGATAAATATTGAAATTGTAAGAAGCAAGAAAATTTTTCTATCGAATAACTTCAAAATGATTCACACAAATATTTTTTTTTTTTTTTTTATTCATTTGAGGTAATTTTTTACAATCGGTTGTTAATTATTTTCAACATGCAAATGTAAGTGAAATTATCTTTAACTAAGCATTTTATTTTTCTATCTTTTTTTTTTAAAAGATTATCAATGGAGGATTTCATGAAAAGTTAGCAGTCATTCTTATCCCGAATGATTTTAATTTTGATGGTGATCCTATAGAAATATCAAATGAATTTAATCGATTAGATGTTACTTTATTTTTGATTATTAATGGAATATTGAATTTCGAAACTTGGGATTTTTGTTGTAAATTAGCTCATAATACTGGTATGAAAGAATTGTTTTGTTTTCTGAAATATTTATATTAAAATGTTGTTTTATAATTTTAGGTGGTGATTACGCACTGTTAGAACATGCTGCAATTAAACTTACTAATGCTATCTCATTAGTTTTAACAGGTGAAGATACACTGCGACAAGCATTTCATCAACATATAGAAAATCATTCAATAGTCATGAATAATATTTATAATGTTGAAGAGCTAGATTTTGCAGATGTTTTTGAATATTAATACAGATCTTTTCAAATCTTTCAATTAATCAAGAACAGTTTAGATATATTTTAAAAAGTTCTCATTATTTTAACAATCAATTTTTTCGCATTTTTTTTTTTTTTTCGTTATTAAATAATAAAAATAAACTAGCTATTACAGTATCAATTTGATTTAATCAAAGAAAATATTGCCATATACAGTGAATACATTGATATTAAATATTTTATCAAGAATATTTTGCAAAAGTCTAACATTTCGCGGCTACATTTTTAAATATAATAACAATAATTCTTATGAAAAAGCTTAATTGCAATATGGACATAGAGATCTAATTAGTGCAGTTTAGCATTTAAAGATAACTATAAGTTCAATTAATCTTTATTCATTAAAACTATTCTTCTTTCCTTACATCAATTATGGCTGCTTGAAAGTATATAAAAAAAATTTGTTTAGTAATAAAAATCAGAGTAAGTGCATAGAAATTCGAATTAGAAATTAATCTATACCATGATCACAACGGTAAAGTTCACAATCAGATTTTTTTTCTTGTGTTAAATTGAAATGCTCAGTACAAAAATCAATTAATGATCGATAAATAACTGCTACAGAGAAAGACAGTTCTGTTTGATCGATTATTTGAAAATTTTCTTTGAATAATAAGAGCACGTTAGCTTCAACTATGTAGCGATTTTCCAATCTGATCATATGTATTTAGACATTTACTAAAAACTTGCATCATGTCAAAATTCTTCTTAAATATTTAATAGTTTATATCAAGATTAGATGTGTTTTGGTTTTTTTTCTTTCGTTTGATATAAATTGAGAAAAATGAAAATGATTTCTAGAATTCAGTAGTGTTGGTCTTAGTTAAAGGGTACTTTTGTCAATAACAGTGCATTGATCAAGCATTATAAAACTCCACTGATTTTATGGATGGTTAATTCAATTGATGGATTAGACAGATCTCAATCTAACAGTTACCTATACAAAATAAATTCATATGAAATGAACTGAAATTATCTTAATCATTATGATAGTGTTCTAAGGGAACATAATTTTTGATGAGTAAAATAAATGAAATCTTTAATAAATAAGTAAAAATTATTAGTTCATTACTTATAAGTGTTACAAGAAATTTAAATTTAATCATTAAGATTGCAGATTTTATCGATAGAGAAAATTAATTTTATTTGTATGAAGATTAATTTAGTAATTACAACAAAAATAAATTTTTAATAAAAAAGAAAATCCTTCTTTACACGGTGAAGTATCATGCTTTTTTCAAGTAGAATTTGTACTCGTATTTCTGCTCGCATGTATACATTGTAGATAATGACAAAGACAAACAAGATGAAGAAAAATTCTTTGATAAATATATGATGTAAACTACATTTACACATATGATTCCTCATATACTGTTGGAAAGCTACTAATTTTTTTCTTTATACTCTTCAAAACTAACCTTCTCACATAAGGATATAGAGACAGTCCTCTGATGATATTTATACAGCCTTATTTTGTATCATATATATATAAATACGAACAAAGAAAATCGATATAAAATGCTCAATTTAAGATAGTATAGTTTATTCTAAGTTTTTCTCAGTCTGTATTTGTAGTTTCAATAAAACTGAGTTATCATATGTAGAAGTTCTTCTCATTAATCTTCTTGACGAATGTTTAATTATTTTCTTTAATTAGATAATTTATTTTCGTTTGATGCAACAAATATCTTTTTTCAATTGCCATCTTTTAAATTAAGAATTGTTGTTTTTCAAAATTGACGATGATAATACTATAGTACAACATGCATAATTTCTCGAAAGTTTTTCTTTATTTCTTTGATGTTACATAGTTAAAAGCAAAATCTTTAATGATAATTATGCTTCTCAATTCAAATTTGTAATCTTAAATAAAGATTCAACAAAAAAATACTGAAACTTTCTCTACTATCACAAATTATCATAGAATACAGCATTTCTTTTACCAATAGATGAAAAAATTGTACTAAGTAAAATTTTATATTTTGTATACCTGCTGTATTCAGCTGTACAAGAGAAGAAGATTCACATGCAGTAACACAATCATCCTTACTGTCTCTTCTACTTCTATTTTATCGTTCTTTCATCATCATATAACTTTTCTCTACTTCAGCATAACATAAATATCTACAATAAAATATTAAATTATACACATATGAATGTGTTTCATCTATCTGTATGCATGTATCAAGTACTTGCTAAAAATACTTATATATACAACACATATAAACATCTGATCTTACGTATGAAAAATGAATGAAAAAATGTGCAAAAAGTATTCAATGACGCAAAATAATTGAGAATACATTCTATTGATATTTATGTTGTTCCTTGAACAATATCTCTCGATCAATGTTCATGTATACTAATAATCACTTTGATATTCTTCTGTTATTTCGCCACTGTTATAATACTATTCAATAGATATTCTAAAGTCAGGTTATTCATGGTTTTTGTTCGAAACCCAACAGTCATGCCTATGAGTATATTTTATTTATTGGTGTATAAGGGTACTTCTATGAATATAAAATACCAGTCCGATGTAATTAAACAAACCTTTGAAAACACAGACACACATATCAGTCCATCCTAAGGTTTAACTTAGTGTGAAAGTATATTCAAAAAAGTCTATACTGGGGTTTCAAGTAGAAGAAAATTGAATTGAACGCATAAAAGAAATAACAATGATGAAAGTATTGAGCTCAATAAATGTGTCTTTATTTTGATCGGAATTAAAAAGTTTATAAAGCATAGGATCAATAAATCTTATGTCACACAAATAGCCTATCTATTAAATTTATTTTGTGTTACTGTGTTTTACATTTGAAGTCATAAAAATAATTCACGTTTTGTAGGAAGATAAATTTTTCCGATCATTTCACATAAGATTGTCATATTCGAGAAGTTTTAGTTTTAGCCTCATACATATAGAATTAATCGTAATTTGTTTTTGACGACAAGAATTAATATTTTAGAGATATTGTTGCTTCAATGATATGATCGACAATAGGCGAATGTTTCCATTTTCTTAGTATTGCATCGCAACTGTTTTACTAAAATTGATGTCAAAAAAGTTTATTCTATCTCAATTAATTAACAGATTTGTGCGTGACGTTTGTTGATGAATTGTTAGTTTGTTTGTGTAGAATTCCATATTTTTTTCTTAATTCATGTAACAATGAATGATTATAAGGACAACTAATATTTCGACCATTATTGATAAAATCTTCCACTTGCCATTGACGGTGTTCATGTACAAAATCTTCTACCCACATATCTATACAAGGATAGTATTTACCTGATGTTCTTGTTGTCACTATAGAACAAAATTCTTTATCTTTTTCACACATTTCAACAAATAATTGTCCATCAGGTGCTAGATTATCTCGAGGATTCACTGGTAATGAAAAACCTTCGAGAATTAGTTGTGATGCTTGTCGAATTAATTTCACAATTTCATCTTTTTTGATACCGTTAGGTCGTTCATTAATTGGATAATAAAGACCTTTGATATATGGTGTACCACTTGTCATATGTTGTTCAAGATATGAAGTATATGCTTCTGTTGAATTTTCTAATCCCCGTGGTTTTATACCTCCAAGATTAATAGTTACAGATCCATCCGATAAAAATGTTTGATACATTTGTCCAGTACCTGGTCCAGTTATATGAATATCCATTTGACGTAAAAGTTTTAGTTGAGCTATGAAATTATTTTCAATTAGTTCATATATTGGTGATCGAGAATCAGTTGGTGTCGCATTTACTCGAATAGAACTAAGGGTACGAGCTCTTACTTTATTATAGAAGAGATAAGATACACGAACTAATGGCCATTGTAATTTAATTGTTTTATTTAAATATAAATTGGTACAATTATTTATTTCATTGATCGCATCGTTGATTTCTTTTCGATCATTACTTGTAAAACGTTTATTATCAATAATATATGCTTGAAGAACATCACGAGAAGTTCGTCCTTCAGATGAGGACTTTCGTCGAACAATTGGATGAACAAGACCATGCTGTTGATACATTCTACCACGAAAAAGTCTTGAAGCATCTAGTTCGACACCACCAGGTAATTGTAAATTAGGTTGTGTACAACGTTGACAAAATGTTCCACTACCCATAACAAGTTCTTCAAACATAAACCAGTTTCCTTTTGACATGTTAGTTAGAACGTTTATTTTTATAAGTCCAAGACCACCAAAACGACTATAAACATCTTCACTCCAACATACTTTGCAGTCACTTACTCCAGCAAGAATACGAAAAGGATGAAGATGTCTTGGAGGAAAACGAATAAGTGCAACATATGCTGAATAAAGTCCATCGAATAGTGCATGACCAATATTATCATGCCAAGGTTGACCAAAATAAAGAGTAACAGATGGAATTATTCTTGGATCAATCGTAGTACGAACGAATTTTTCAAGATCAAAATAAGTATCAAATACACGTTTGTTTGGAGTTGTAGGCGAAGTTACAAAGGCGTTGGCTCGTACAGAATATGAAGGTAACTGTTTTCCTTTCACTGTTAAAATCATAAATCTACTATCGACATAATATAAATTATGATACAAACAAGATTGATTATATAATGAACCAACACATTCAATCGTAGTTTCTAATGTTTTATTATGATGGATAAATCGTAAATCTGTAACAGTTAAAGTATGTTTATTATTTTCTGTCAGTAAAGGTCTTGCGGATGTCAAGGAGATTGAATTATTCTTGAAATTGCTAACATTAAAGTAGTGCTGTTGATTAGTTTGATTCTTTTCAATTTTCAATATACTGAAAACTAATGATTTGAGATTTTCTTTTCGTGGATCTGTATTTTTCCAAATAAAAATAATAAACAATGTGAAAGAAAGAAGTAAAAGAAAAGAAAATAGTGAATAGATGAATTGTGTTTGTGTAATTTTTTTGAACATAACTGATACTAATCTAAAATATATGTATACGCCTAAAAGAAACAGTTGCATTCGATATTTCAGTACATTGTCAATATAAAAATATATCTTTAACAAAACAATTTGCATCTTATGAAAACATTGGAAGTATTCTATCACTCTATATATCTATATTTTAGTTATGTAGGTGTATGTATAGAGAAGACCTTGTCAAAGCTTTATTGGAATTGCTATCAGAAGAAACTCTTCATAAGTTGATTTGCGAACATGTTAGGCTCACAATCTTTGCGATTAGTATAAAGTCTCTCAATCGGTACATGGTGTCTCATGACGTCAACACTTACCGAGAAGTCGATTTTCTATATATATTTATCGATGCACCACATGTGTTCTCTATATGCTTTCTTCAGGTGACTCTTGTCATCAAAATGTTCTTCATTATAATCATTTTTTTGCGAACCTGCACCTTTGTCTTTTATCTCCCGATTTACCCGTAGGCTTTTTGTTTCTTATCTTTTTTTCAACAGCGAGAGATAGAAGTGACGGCAAACACATTATCCATATTACCAGTACCGTCATATTTCCTTATCGCAGTCAGTTTATTATAAAATCAATGGATGCATGTCTATTTCAACTCTAATCGATCATATGCTTATTTTTATCTATGTGCTAAACGACTGAATGCCATTCTTTTCTTTATCACACTTTTAACTTAAGAAACAACTGAATAGGTACCTAAATGCTCATGTACCTTTGTTCTTCATCCATCCACCTATACTTTATTGTAGACATCACATAATTTCTTTCTAATATTTATCTTAGATAAGAAGCACATTCCGGCGAAATAAGAGTAACGACCAACGAATATCACTCATCCTTTCGACGTATCAGTAGTTTATTGCTTGAAAAAATATCAAGCATTTCTCATTGAAAAAACATGAACATAGTACAACAAAACGTCCATTAGGTAATATGTTTCAATCTTTTCTTGTCGTTATCTTTCGTGGAAGTTATACAAGATATGTCCTCATGAATTTCACATTTCTCCTCTTCACATTGTACCAAAAAGAGTTTAGTCAGAGGGTATTTTTTTTTGTTTGGGCTGATTAGTAAACACTATTTTATTTCAAAATTCGAAATCAATACGTATCTTTCATTTTTCTCCTTACTAATTAAACTTCTGAATGATGTGATGTGGTGGCTATAGACATTGATTAACCTTGAGAAGAGCGGAGTGAAGACAACGAATATGAGAGTCAAGATGCTCTCTTCATTTTTATCCTTTTTTAGAATCGTCAATTCTATGCTCACCAAAGCTCAACTACTCTACTTACAGTACGATTTTGGAAACTTCGATAATTTGCAAAAATTTTTTTGATTAGTAAAATTGATGAAGTTTCTGAAAACTTTTTCTCGCATGTTCTGCTGAACTAAAAAATATCCACACGTTCGATTAAAATTTCGATTGTTTGTGATAACCTCTTTAGTTTTTGACATGTAGGAATGTGTGAAATTCAAAGTCTTCATTCATACCTAATTTCACCCTTTTAAATAGTCTCATTCTATGGCAATCACAACGAATTCTATCAAAGTAGGAATTAAGAAACATCCTTAATTTGTCCGTATTCATGATAATTATGTGCTTAATAGAACGAGCATGCTTGAAGACTTTCCGGATATGTTTGTTGGTGACATGTCTCTTGCAGGCCATATTGGATCACGTGACTGTCGAAGCAGTGCTGGATTTGCTCTCAAGTATTCAAATTCAGGCAAAGCTTTAACTGTTGCTAAAGTCGATACGATCTCGTTCAAGAAACCTACGACTTGCAGCTGTTTTTCAAAAGCTTCTCGACAAAATCCCACCGCACTGGTTTCATCGTCTTCGCCGACAACTACTCGAAGTAGTAGTGATGCTACTCAAAGTGAGAGCTTGTTTTTTGCTTGCTTCATAGTACATTTTCGGAAGCCTCACCAGAGAAGCTTGTGCAGCTCATAATTGTATGAAAACGGACGAGTTCTTCTTTCGAAGTATATAAAATCGAAATCGACATCATTTAATTTCTTTCGTCTAGTATATTTCAGAAAAAAAATGAATCTATAAATTTTACTTGTGCCCATTCTGAGATTGCCTATTTAATTTTTCGTCTTGGGAATCGAATACATAAATTATTTATTTTTATTAATTTTACAAATATCTAGCTGGAACGATCACTAAACCAACAACACTGACAGTTTCGAAAATCACACCAACAATAGCTACAATGCTGAGCCCTACCACGAGGGTTGCATCGACGACAAAAAATGCACCCGGTTCGGCAAATTCTAATCCTTCTCAATGTTCGAGTTACGTCCTAATTACTGACAAGACGCGCCATGCTACTCACCCACACTACATTGGATGCGACAAAGGTACTTTTAAGCCAGAGCCGATGTGGGTCCGTTTTTCAGGCGCTGCAGGCACTCGTCTGGCACCTGGTCCAATGGAACCATTCCATTGCGGAACACAGGGAACTGGTTGGTACAAGGGTGAATATCCGGTATCAGTAGGTGCCACAACTTCGGGAACTATATGTTATAGCTGGCTGGGAAATATGTGTCAGTGGTCAAACCAGGTTTCGATCACAAACTGTAATGGCTACTATGTATTTGCACTTCGTGCACTTCCGGCATGCTATTTGCGATATTGTACTGTCTAAACACAAACAATATGTTTGCTTATTTCTAATTTCCTTGCATTAGCTATTGTTATGAGAACTCGCTCCTAACATCTGCTACTCTAACTGATCAAAAATAAATTGATTTTCAAAATGATCACTGCACTCATTCGTTCTCCAACTCATACAGGTTTTAGTTGTAAACAATTACCTCTCAAGCTAAGGGTAAACTCTAATAAATTCTTTTCAATAGGATCGAATCTGACTGGTCGGTATACCGTTATCGATTTTAAAGTTTGTCCTAAAAAAACTCTTTCTGATAATCAAACGATAACTAGCGACATACACAGCCTATTTCCTGCTTTGTATTTTAACGGATCTGACATTAAATATCAAATAGGATAAACGATTGGATTATTTCCATATTATTGTGCACTTTCACAGTTTTACCTTATTCTTTACTGATTGTTAATCAATTCAAGAAAAATAAAAACATGTTTTATTAATGTTATCTTAAATGTATAGATCATCGTTAGAATGGAATAAGGACAATTTGAGTGAAACTCTATTAAAGTCAACTGAGGTGAACTGTATCTATTATAGAAATGCAGTCTATTAAAATTCATATAATTGACCTAAGGCAAACTGGTCTAACTTCTTCATAATTGATACAAAATGTCGGTTGTTAAAATTCAGCAATCATCAATTTTACTGGAGAGTTCGAAAAATTAAAAAAAAAACAAACTTCCAATGAAATTTAGCAACCAAAAATATTTTGAATACAATTAAAAGTCACGAACAATCATAAAACGATCCTCTTCATCGGCAAGAGTTGGATCAAGTAAAATTGTTTTAAATTCCAGATGAGTTTCATTGTGAATATAAAGCTTGCCAAAACCAAACGTTGCATATCTCACTTGTGACCATTCAGGCTTCGGAAACCATGTTTCATTAATGAGAGCACCAGACATGCCGATAGTCAAATGAATAGGACTTGTTTGATCAGCTGTTGTTGCATTGTGTCTATATACTTTTCCATCAGGTGAAAAATGTTCTTGATCTGTAACATTGTTGAATTTCACCGGTGTTGTTCGTTCATAACAATGCATATGACCCCAAACGGCAAGATCAACTCCATATTTAACCACTAGAGGCTCGAGTTCTTCTTGTAATCGACCAGCATTCGCTCCTTCATCTGATGTGTACATGGGTCGATGACCAACAACAATCAGCCATGGTCGCTGTTTGAATTGCCATTTTTGTCGATATTGTTCGAGTGCATTTTCAAGAAACAATCGTTGGGAAGAACCCGTGGTGTAGTTGTGTTCGGTTGATATGAATATCCATTGAACTAAATTTGTTTCTAATGTAAAGTAGAAATTTCCATCATCTTCTAAAGGAGTTGGATCTGTTTTCGAAGGCATAAAAAATCGTGTTTGATAACTCGTATAGTTGAAATATTTTTCATGGTTGCCAGTCGCGGTCATATATGGTATTTGACTCGCAATGGGAGCAATTTGATTCATGAACAAATCCCAGATAGGTTGAATTTCGATTTTAGCTCCTGTTCCAGCATAAGCAATATCTCCAACATGTACAACATAGTCGGCTCGTTCATTCGTATTGTTGATAAAATCACTGACTATCGCTTTCATCACTTGGATCCCCATTGGCATAAACGTACCCATATCTCCATAAATATAGACAATCTCTCTTTGTCGATCTTCCCAACGTGGCATTGTTTTAAATGTCCACATTGTATTCGAAAATATGTATGGAATTGTCTTATTGTCCGATTCTATGAAACCAAGTTGATAGCTATATTTCGTTCCTGGTTGAATATTATCGATCAGAATGTAATGAATCCAATGGTGCCAACCATTGACATTGTATGTTGTTGTGTCACCAGTAGCAACGCATCCTTGGTCACAGTACTTGATCATAGGTCGAAGATTTGAGGTTGGTCGCTCTCGTGTAACAAATGAAATAAACATTTGATTGTAAACATTGTGTGTATATGATAAATGAACTTGTTCTGGATCAAGACCGTGATACACAGCATTAGGTATTTGATTTTGCAAACCATAAAGTTCGTAGAATGTGCGTTGCAAATCAGATATAATAAGATAGTTACGTGTTGAGTTTCGATTGTATTTTTGAATTAATTTTTCAAGCATTACTCTTGTTTTTGGACACATAGGTGAAGATGGTGGAACGAAAAGTTCGAACTTTTCTTCGTAAAAACGTTCGAAAAATAGAGCAAGTTCAGTACTTGTCGCTTTTCCATCACCATTAAGATCTATCAAATCAAAATAAATCTTTAGATCATGAGTGCCTTCGGTCAAGACGACGAAAAGAAGGCTTAGAACAATCAGCGAGAACATCAGCTTGAGTGTGCGTCTAATGCATACATAAGATTCGTAAACCATTGCTTGCTTAAGTGAGAACAGAAGCATCTGCTTCACTCATATTGCTTTTGGTAACAAAGAGCCAGCTGTTTTCAATCGATATTGACATTTGTATATTTCGTGCATTTGAATTTCAAAAGAGAAAGTATGGACGATGATATGATTAAAGCGAAGACCCTTATCAAGGTACTCATGCCCAAGTGAAAAAGAAAGAAGAAAAATGCATGGAAGAGAAATTACTTAGTGTCGAAGAAAGCGCTACTCAATAATTTTTGGAATGTTGTACTCGTGTCTCTTGTATGGATTGGTTTCTCTAATTCGAAAAATGAAATTGTATGGAGAATGAGAAGGAATATCTCCGTTGTTCAAGCTTGTGTTTCTAGAGTCTGGCATGGGATGTTGACAAATCTAAACTCAACTGAACCATTTATATTAAGTCTTAGAGTGCTAGCTTCACTGGAGAAACACAAATGTAATTGAAGCAACGAAATATATCTTTGCTTCTCTCTAAGTGAACTTATTATTTTAAGTATCTTTCGATGAGAAAACGTCAAATTATTTGTTTATTCTCTTAACATAACCTCTATCTGCTTGACACTGTTACTCTTTTTTCATAAGTCGACTTGAAATATGTTCACTTTTGTTTTAACGGTCGGGATTTGACTATTGGCATACACTGTTCTACACTTTGAAGAATCAACAATTCAAATACCTCTATAGCTATGAGGTTACGACTGATACAAACTGAATTACAAAAAGGGTGTAAATAATGACTGTGAATGTAATCTTCTTCTTTGCCAACACTCTCATCTTCACATCCATTCTTTGTTCACACATTCTAATTTCTTTCGTTTCTTCGAGTACGTTACAGACAAGTTTCAATCGTTTTATTGTTTGTGTCTACAAGCAAAGTATTTCTACTATAAGATTGTATAAAATATGAATGTTTATAATGAATAATTCTATTGTTCTGATAATTTAGTCTATGAGTTGCTTGCGAACATCAGCAGAAATTACACGTTTATCATGACCCATATCCATCAAGAAATCAACTAACCAAACAGAGCACATCGAAAGCGGAAAAAAGAAGACTCGATTGCCAACCAGGTCGATAACGAATTTTTGAACGTGTATTCATGACAGCATGTCGAAGTGCTTCTATTACTTTATTTGGATTTTCAGCCATTTTCATAATCGCATTATTTTCTAATTTCTTTACTTGATGTTAGAAAAATTCTTCGCTCCATCGTTCTATGATACTGACTCATAAACCCCATACACTCATTTCACGACGAAGACAATCCGAGAATGATTCAAGAGCATATTTTGAAGCACCATGTGCAGCTGTACTTGGTCCTACTAAGAAACCAGAAATTGACGAAACATTTATCACATGTGAATCTCGTTTGGTAATGAGTAATGGACATGAATTTTTTTGTCATGGCAACATGTCCAAAAAAATTCATGTCCATCAATTTGCGCATTGTATTCATCGTAATCCAATCAATCGGACCATTTTCACTGACACCAGCATTGTTGACCAGAGGATGAAGTACATTGGTTTTTTCTTGCACCATCTCGTAAACTGAATCAAACAGTTAGCGAGTAAATCTCGACTATTTTCACTGAAAACACCGGCCAATACATTAAAATCTCGCTTATCCAATTCAATAGCTAGAGCATTACCAAAGCCACTATCGCAACCAGTTATAAGAACATATTTGCCTTGAGGATTGATGTCAGATGATGGAAAAAGTGCTTATAAATTTGACAAGCAACATAGAAGAGAAATACCAAAGTAACCAAACAAAACATGTTAATAAATATAAATAAACATGTCACTAACAAGTCCGATGAGGTGTTTATTTTCTTGTCGTTTGCTTCACACCGAGTGTGTGTTCAGATTAAAAAAAGTAGACAATATCTAAAATGTGAAATATGAGAAGCAATCTATTGTATCAGGCATTTTTATTCGTTCAAATTCGACTACCAGTTGCATCATATATCATAAAGTAGATTTTTTAAATGAAAAATAAAACAGCGCTTTACTCTCACCTTCTTCTCAGCTTCTACCGGTCATCTTTGAGACTAAAAAGTATCGATTCTATTTTGTGTCAATCATTGTTTATTACTTCGAGCCAAAGCTCTAGCACAAACACGCGTGAACTTGCACAGATAGAAGAAATTATTCGAGTAATATATGAGAGCAAAGAATCAGAGTACTACGATACACCTTACAAGGAGATATACCATGTGTACGAATATGTTTGTGTATGTAATGCCTAGAATGTGATGTGGCAATCGTTTTTTTATTTGTGGGTACTAATACGTTTTCTTTTGCGTTCTTTTCTCAGATTAATCATAAACAGTCAAGGCTTGTGAAAAGCAAAAAAGTTATTACTTGGTTTGCTTTTGCACCTCTCTGTGACACAGAATATTACTCTAACACTGAGTACGATCACTCTCAGAAGTGTGCTCGATTGCTAGTTAAACAACAGAAAAAAAAATACTCTTCTGATCACTAAATTGCTTGATATATATGTCCATTATCAACTAAACGGAAAAATGAAAATGAAGGTCTCACCATAGAAGTATACTTCACGATGCCATAGTCTTTTTTGCAATTTATTGATATTAATGAGCTATTATTCCAGATGTCAACAAGATTTATTCTATTTTAATGACAAGAAATACAACACACTTTCAGCTCGTCTAAAATCGTGTGATATAAATCTGAACCAATAAAACGTTAGTATAGGGGAGGTACATCGAATATATTAATAATCAATCAAAATCGTCATTCAAATGACATAGAAAAATATCAGCACTCCATGTCAACTGATTCAGAAGCTGCCAAAAGTATATTTATTATGAGCGATTTCGCCACTTGTTATTCACGTCACATTAGACAGAAAATTACATGTACTTCATGGATTTATCATTTTCTTGTCTTTGTTGATAAGAAGAAAATACGCAGTTACCACATCAGATGTCCACAATGTGAAGATGTCATGGTATAATGGTTTCTCAAAAATTAAACTATCAGTTTCATTTTGAGTAGACAAAATTGATGAACACCCTTTATATTATAGTATTTTCAAATCAATCAAAAGGATAATGGTATGAGAACATTTTACGGACTACTAACTCTTATCCTCATTCTCGAGTCTATTTTTCAATAATGTGACAATTTTGTTCGATCTCATAGAATCAAACTTTTCCCTAAAAACAAAGCTCACTATTTTTCGAATGAGTTCTTGATGTTGTTATATCCTCATTATCAAAATACCTAGACTGACCCGGTTAATAAATATTTTTTGCAATATTTCATAATGTAACGAATGGTTTGAAGTTGAGAATCTTGTTTGTTGGCAGTGCTATTATGAGAAAGATATAGAAGAATGGATTGAGCTATTCTAACAATAGATTAGTTTCCAATGAAGTTAGATCTTTTATTTTTGTCTACTTACAGTTTTCATCAGCTTCACATATTTTGCAATTATGTCATTATTTCGATTGATAAGCAGATATTCTATCGATTTTATGATCTTGATTCTAGAGTGTAAATTGCTCACACTGATTGTTCAAAACAACCTTCAAGTTAATAAAATAAATACTCAATACTGAATTCCTTGTTGTCATTAGTATATTATTAATACAAGATAATTTATCTTGCTTATTGCAAACATTTTCTTCAGAAAAGTATTGAAGAAATCGACATTCATAAACAAAAACAAAAACAATACTAGGAATACAAATTTCTTTCTCATCAGTTATTCAATATTGAACAAAAAGCATCATATGTTATCAGAGAAGTTGCATAATTAACGAGAGACTTTTGTGTTATCGTCTTTTTAACCTAATCTCGAAACGAAACATCGATAGTTATTCTCTCACTGGCTTTGTGTGTTCTGTTACTAGAAAAAAAAAATAGAAACTAACAAAATAATTTAGTAAAATGAGCGTAAAGATTATTAAAAAAGAAAATTGAGAAAAAACTTGAAGACAAAAATACTAAAAATGCGTATACACTTTGACATCGTGCAGATTTTATTTCCATAGCTAAATGAGTTGATAATTTATTTTTATGAATGGAATTTTTTTTCACAGGAGGCTTTTTTTTCTATTCTGTTGTTTTCACTCCGATCAGTCAATCAGCTAAATTGTGTGTTTTAACAAAAAAAAAGCTGAAACATGCAGAATATAAAATTTCTTCAAGGTTCCGTAAAAAGAGAAATAGTTATTTTCTCATTGTCTAATTCTTTTCTTCAATCAACAAAAAAGTTTCTACGGCTATCTTTCCGAATACTTTACATACACCATGTATTGGAATGTTTAAGTCAATAAAATACTAATCATGACTGAACAATATGAAGTTTCTCTACTCATATTACCTCCTGAACTTCTTTATCGAATATGCGACTTTCTCGATTCAGAAACATTACTTCTTTCATTTCGTAATGTTTGTATAAAACTTTATACAATTGCAAATACATACAATCGATATAAAATCTGTTTACGTTCTATGTCAAAGATAAATATTTGTCAACTTATTCGTCCTGAAAATGTTGTCTCGTTAGATTTTTGGGCTAGAAACAATACAATAAATTGGATTGAACTATTACTACCAATGTTCAAGACATATAAATTCACTCGACTTCATTCATTATCTCTTCATATGATTAATATCAACGATTTAAACATCATCTTACATCATGTTGCTATGAATTGTATGCTAACATCATTTGCCATCTATTCGGATATGCCAATAGATAGTAATGATACATTACAACTTCTTTCTCTAATTATTGCACAACCTACTCTTCAAAATATTATTCTGTATTTTAATCTTACTGATAAACATCAACTATCATGGCCTAATCAGTCCGTAGTCAAAAAACTATCAATAAGTAATTGTACTATTCAACAGTTCTGTTCTATTCTTCAAAATTCACCTTATCTTCATTCGTTGATAATGGATAGTTGCTATGTAAGTGGAGTAGATGAAACTATCTTATCAAAATCATACAGACAAATAACATCATTGACATTAAATGATATGCAAATGACAATGGATAAACTTGAATTATTACTTTCATTACTACCATCTATTATACATCTTGATCTAGCTAGTTCAGGTAGACCATATGAATTTGTTCGACGATTATCTCAATGGGAAGAATTTATTCGATTAAAATTACCTCAACTTTATCGATTTGAATTTTGTATTTTTTGTTATTGTTCAAATTGGGAGAATTTTGAATCGATAATATCGGCATTTCGAACATCATTTTGGCTCGAAGAAAAACATTGGTTTGTAACATGTCAATTTCGTGATGATTGGACATCAAGCTTCACACTGTTTACATCACCAGAATCTTCAACATTTTCTTATCAAAAACAGCATAATTTTGATCAAATTACTTGTTCGAACTCAATGATAAGTAAAACATAATTAGATAGAAATCAACTGTATCATGAATATTTACTTCGATTAGCAGATGAATGAAACGATCGATAGGACCAACAAAATTTTTTTGAAGTAAAATATTCAAAAATAAAATTATTCTTAGTGTTCTATTATATTCACATGTATAATAGATAGCTTCTATAGGTGCAATGATGCCCATCAGTGGCCGAAGTCGAGTTCTAAGTTAAATGAAACTCTACGAGCTCGATGTTTTTCATGTTAATACGGTCACGATGACCAAAGAGAAATTTTTATGTCAATAATAATTGTTTTGCTGAACACGTTATTTCTGTACTAATTGATGTTTGAAAGCTTTCACTAAAGTCTTCACGAAATCAAAATTCTGACTTACAATGTAGAATTGTAAAAAGAAACTACTTTTGGCTGTGGGATCGAACTTTTAAATCAGTGTCGCGGTGTGGAGATGTGCAGCACCACTCGAAAAGTGGAGACCCATTCTCGTCTCTGTGTATACACTGGAGTAGATATTATTCAGTTATAATTACAATTGAGATAATGTTTATCTTTAGCCATTCTAACATAAATATACTTATTTGGATTAGTCTTTCCGTTAAGTAAAAATTTATGTTTGGCTTTAGCTATGTAAGTACCAATGAAATTTTAATTCATTTTCGAACTCAAATTAGGCAACTACTCATTCAATCACAATGTTGACATTTTTACTAATGTCGTTGCATGTGTCGCATTGTACTTGTTTCGGTTCTCTCGATAAGAAAAATATTGCACAGTCATAATGAAAGTTGATAACACAATTATCAATAAACACATCAAGAGAAAGTAATATGAATTTCAATACACATTTATTTCAGTGAAATATACTGTTCAAAAGCAAGCAATATTCATGTTTGATAGAGTTTCTTGTTCTCTTTTGACATTACCTGTTGAACTCGTCTATTGCATTCTAGACAATCTCGATGAATTAACAATTTTATGTTCAGTTCGAAATGTGTGCATATGACTGAATGCGATTACTGATGGATACCATCGATATCAGGTAAATTTTACCTTCATCAGAGAATCAGAGTTCTATCATCTTCAAGACGTCATTCAGTTCAACAAATGATTATTTTGGTTTAGAATAATGTTAGTTCAAGGATAATATGTCTGATGTCGAAGCTCATATTAAACTGAATTTTTTTTGTTAGTGATGCTAGCTTCATCTTTGTCTAAGCTTTTACTATTTATTTGCATAAAACATGCTTCAGCGTACAAATGTTTCATTTGAAAATGATGGAGAATCAATGTATTTTAATTGATACTCGAGTAACATGTAACCGAGAAATTTCAAAACTTACGGATCTTATTTGTATTATGTACAACAGCATTCAAACAATCTTTCTTTTTGTTGCGCCAAATTTTGTACACGACGAAAAACAAATCATAATAGCTATTAGACAACTCAAAAATTTATCGATCTATCGTATTGTGTTCTTTTTATAGACATGTTCTTTTCCAAAGATGAACATACTCATGGACTATTAAGATCGCATATATCATGAATAAGCAGATTCGGTTTTG